TTATCACCTTGTTGACACAACCTTACTTTTCGTGTTCAATTTTGTCTCCACTTTTGCATGCATCCATGGGACATGATTTCATTGACACGTGTATTTTTACTTTCTTAGAAATGCATGCTATTAGTGCACTTTCTTCTTTAAGGGTGTGGATGCACATTTCTTTAGAAATTTTCTTACTTTTAAGGTTATTGTGTAATTACTTAAAGTAATTATTTTTGTCTTGAGGACCATTTTGCAATTAAGTTTGCATGATATTTAGAGGAGGGACCTTTATGCAAATTATTTTTGGGCCACTTTAGGATTTTGGCATTAAAGAGGAGTTTTATATAATTGACCATAGATGTGTGTGTTGACCATGGTGTAGGATCACATAGTGAGTGAAGGATTTTTATTTACTCTACTCATACTTAATCACATTATGTCATTATCTTCCTCACCACAAACCCTAGCCACCATTAGAGAAGCTTGATGCTTAGGCCTTGACTTTGATTTTTGAGGGCTTTCCACTCATATCTAGCCTTACCTTGGGGAACACTTTTGAATCTCCTCATCCTCATCTACATAACCCTTGAAGGGTAGATCATTTGGAGCTTGCTTACCTTGGATTCTAGAGAGGCACTTCTCCAGTGAGATATGGGGTGATTTAGGTTTGTAATCTAAGTGTTTTAATTGTTTTTATAGTTTACTATAAATTGTTTACATGTCTTTTACTTAATTTTTAAATTAGTAGGTTGTTATACCTTGTATGAAATTAAGCTAGGACATAATTTTCTTAAAAGGCCATGATTTGATTTATAACTTGTATTAGTATAGAGTCAATTGGAATTGTTTTAGAATCTAGAGATTTAGTTAATTTAATTTGATTTAAATTCTACTTAATTATACCTTGCTTGTAATCCATTTTAGACTTGATATGTAGCTCACCCACTTGTTGGTCTAGGATAGATGCACTTGTTGGCTTGGATGGTTGACTAGTGTAGGCTTAGGATTAAGCCTAGGAAGGAGCCATGGATTGGTGACAAGTGTAGGCACCAAATTGAGTCTTGTATTATGTGTGTGTGAGATGTAGTGTAAGAACACCTAGTGAGTGGAGGAATACTAGATCCTCCACCAACCACTTTGCATTTTATTATCTTCATTTCCTTTGCTCTTATACCCGAACCTAGCCTCCATTGAATTTAATTAATTTAAATTAATTAAATTATACATAATGATATCTTGCACATTTCGCACTTTTGATTTAATATATGCAATGACCATGGAATGATCTTTCACATATATTATTTTGAGAATTTTTGGACAATTTTGATTTTTAGATAAATTAATTAATTAGATTAATTAATTTTTAGTTAGTGTTCTAATGATTTGGACATCTATTTCATGGGGCTTTTGCCTTTTTATCATGTATCATGACTTGTTGCAACTTAACTTCATTAATGTAGTTAATGAACTTGCACCCTTACATTGTGATGATTTAATTATTCAAGTGATGCTAGTCAAATAATTAAATCTTGGATCTTATAGTAGTGGTATATTTACATAAATAAATTCTATGGGTGATAAATTCTAGTTTGTAGTCTATATAGATGCACACTATGATTACTTGACATTTCACATGCCATGATAGTTAAAGACTTAAGACATGACTCGTGTGTTCCAAAATCTTGGTTGTGCATGGAATGTGGTTTAATGCATTATGTGTACGTTAATGTAATCATGGTTTGCACAACTTGTTAATTTTGAAAACTTGGGATATCAATCAAGAATTGACGTGGCTATGACTTGGTTCCAGTACGAGAGATAGAGAGCTCCCTACATTACTGACACATCGGATTGCAAAACTTGGGCTGTCACAGTGCACCAAAGCCAAAATCACCTGCGGAGAAAGGCGGTGCGAAGGTGGTACACCAGAGCAGGAATCACCTACGGAAAGAAGCGGTGCACCAGAGCCGGAATCATATTGTGTGTATTTTCTCTCTCTAGAAGATGAGGGGGAGAGGAGAGAAGCGGGGAAGAGAAGGATTTGGCAGTTGCTATTTCTTGTGCTACATTTGGCACCAAATTTCGCAAAGTTAAAAATTGGCAGCCCAATTAACAGTCCATTGGAGAGCCCATTTTAAGCCCACTTGCTATATTTTAAAAATGGCAGCCCACATAGCATTGCATTGGAGTTGCCCTTATGGAGGTGTAGCATGTGCGTCATTTGTTTGGAGTTTTATTTATTTGTTTATTATTGTTATTATTGAAAGATTAAGGAAATACACACATTCATACTTATTATTATTGAAAGATTAAGGAAATACACACATTCATACTTTCATTAGATTCGAACACACCTGATATTTACTTCGGAAAGGACTTGCACCAGCTGAGTTATTACCCATTTGATCTGTTTAAGAGTTGCTTACTGTGCATTTTTAATATTATTTAGCCTTAAAAGAGTTGTGAACATTTAGTGAGGAATTTTTTTGAGGGAGGGCATCGTCAAAGAAAAAAAAAAAAAATTGTAGACAAATTTTTAAAAAAAAATTTTGGAAGTGGGGGCATTTTTTAATTTTAACTAAAACTTTAGATGATAATATAAATTAGAAAAAATTCAGTGGAGAAATAAGTGAGGTAAAAATGTGAAAGGAGCATTTTAAATAATTGAGTGGGGACATTTTTTAAAATTTAACTAAAACTATAAGTAATAATATAATTTTAAAAAAATCCAGTGGGGTGGATGTCTTATAAAAATAATATAATAAAGGAAAAGAAGGAAGGGGGATAATACAAAATCCTCTAATTGACTTTAAACTATTTGGTTTGTTATTTAAAGAAGAAGAAATAATAAAAAAAAAAAAATATAGGGAAAAATTAGTAATATAAAACTAAAAGGAAAAAAGAATAAAACCTTAAAAAAAATCCAACTAGGTCATGAATGACTTTAGTGACCAAACCATTTCTTTTTGTTTGTAACTTTGATTGTGATATTGAACTTTTTTATTTTATTATATATATTTTTTTTTATCACCATATAGATTAACTTGGTCACAAAAATACACAAGGAATAAATGAAAAAAACAAAATTCATCGAACGCCTTTTATTTTATTATAATAATTCAAATCTTATCCATTTTTGCCTTTACTATAATTTGAACTTTTCATATACTTTGAAATACTATGAGGAATTACCAAATAGAGTTGTTTTGAAGAAATAAAACGAACCCACAATTCATAATGTAAATATTTCTATATTTTGAAGATTAGTTTTAATTTTTTTAATATATGTTGAAAATTTTATTAAATTTATTATGTCTTTTTAATGAAGTTAAAATCTCAAAAGGGACATACATATATATTTTAATAGAGAGAGTACAAATTAAGTTGTATGTGACCCGGGGACTAAAAAAAGGATATGGACATTGACCAATGTGTCTTTGAACCTAATTTTGTGACAAGCATTTGTGAATAAAAAAATGATGATGGGGTGACTAAAGAGGGACACAAAAGCTAGGGTTGACGTTAAGCTAAAGGCAAAGCCCAACCCAAACCCTCCTATTTTGACTTTGTCATCTTTGGTTTCCCACTAGATACATGAGTTTGTGTTTGTGTGTGTGTGTGTGTGTGTGTGTGGTGTGGGGTTCAATTCTTTCCAAACCAAACATCTCCCTTTCGCTTCTACTAGTCCCTCTCTCTCTCTCTCACACACACACAAACACACATCAAAACAAAGCATTAAAATCTCTCTCTCTCTCTCTCTCTCTCACACACACACACACACACACAAACACACATCAAAGCAAGGCATTCATTAAAAACTCCAATCTCATATCTCCCTTTCTAACCAGTCCACAATGAATTAGCCGTCTCAACTGCCAACCCTTCTTTTCTTGGTCAACTGTCCCAAACAACCACATGTTTCACCTCTTTTTCTACCTTCTTGACTAAGCCTTCTCTCTTTTTTTCTACTACCATTTTTTCCTTTTTTGGTTCTTACATTTTGACCAAGCCCTGCTTTTTGGTTCGGTTTTCAAATTAAATGTTGACGGGATACCCAATTACCAAAATAAGTGAGAAATCGAGAAATTATTTTGATTTATCCTTCATAAAATAAAAAATTATTTTTTAAAAAAATCTTAAAAGACAATTTTAAAAACAAAGCTGAATTTTTAGAAAACAATTCTTATAATGATCATTCAACCGGTTTTTAATACAATTTTTTGCTTTTTGCTATTTAATATACAGAAAACTTTTCCCTAAAAACTAACCCAAATCTCCTAATAAGAGACCAAGGGCATGATTCCACACCCATGACCAATCCTTCCCCGTTAGATTCAAAACCCATGACCCATCCTTCCTCGTTAGATTCAAAAACACAAAACCCATGACCCATCCTTCCCCGTTAGATTCAAAAACACAACGTTCTTCACCTTATATTCGGTGGCACCAAATAGGTAAAACTTTGTAACGTATTAAATTTTCTTTAATTTCAAATTCAAAATATTATTTTCACAACGGCAAAGATTTCAACCCTCCAATTTTTTTTTTTTTTTTTTTTTAAATGAAAAAAAACATCACTAAACTATAACCTAAACCGAACTGACAATTAATAAAAATTTCTTTTTAAATAGCTTTTTCGAGAGAGCAATAGGATTAATTATCACTTTTCTTAAAACCCATAAAAGAAAAAGGCTTGGGCACTAAGGCATTTAAAAAAAAGTAGTAGTAGGAATCCAAAGACATGAAGTCAAGAACCAAAAGATAAAAGTAACAAATAAAATAGAAAAGTGAGAGAGAGAGAATACCTACTTTCTTTTGTTTCACGGATCCAAAGAATTGTGAAATCAATCCTACAACTTTTGACTTAAAAAGAAATCCAGATTGATCTCATTCAAATTATTAAACTCTTGTTTTTAATTACATTACCAAACCCACCAACTTTCGTCAATAGTTAATGGATTCAGACTAGTTTTAGAGAGAGAGAGTGAGGAGAGAGAGAGGGGCAGAGAGATCCAATGTTGTACAAGGAACAAACTAATCCACTAAAAATCTCCTTAGAGATAAAGTTGAGTCCATTGAGCTCAACCAGTACACAGCTACACTTGTTTACTCTACACTTGACCACAGAGAAACATTGATTGTCCTTCTTCGATTATAGTAAGTAAATTAAAAAAAGAAAAAAGAAAAAGAAAAAAAAAAACTAAGAAGACTCTAAAATGAGACCACTTGTTTCTGCAAGAGTGAGAGTGTGGTTGTGCTCTCCTTCGTAGGTCACAATCAGCATGGCTGGATCATCCAACGCCCTCTCTACATGTTTACGTGCCGGGCACCCTCTCACACTACTGCACTTGTAGTAACCCCTGTTATCACACACACATAACACACATATATCAGACATATACATACACAAATCAATATATATATATATATATATAGTTGCAATGAAATATGTATATATATATATATATAATATCAGACACCTAGTCGGTTGGTTTGCCCATTAGACTGTCCCCCTATGGTACCTAGGTGCCAATTTTTTTTTTTTTTTTTTTTTGTATTCGGAATATAAATTGTAGAAATAAGATAGAAATAAAAGAATTTTGAAATGAAATTTCCATTATTGGGTCTGAATAAATTTTCAGATACTATAAAAAAAACATGACAAACTAACTCTTTATCTCTAAACACCTTGAGGAATAAAAGCATGTATTATTATTATCTGCACTATTAATGAATATACACACATGTCAAATTAATCATGTGGGTAAAGTTTAATTTAGCGTTATTCAAACAAATTTTACCACATTCATCCAATTCTATTATGAACTCCATCAATTCTAAACAAAGAAATTCTATTTAGTACCAAACTTCGTTTTTTTATTCTTATTTTTGGTAAATGTCACACCAAAGAACAGATTTGTGTGACTAATCAAAAGGGCAAAGTTGTACTTCGAAGGTCTAAGGTCAACGAGTTAAGACCCAGTCCAAAAGCGAGTGACTCACTGAGTCGACTCAAAAGAAATACAGTACAAAATAACCAACTCAGATTGATTGATATGGAAGACCATAGTATTATCAGTACCTTGGATGTGGAGACCCTTTAATGGGTTTTTGTCCGTACTTCCTCCAAGAATAATCATCAGGCGGTATGTCCGCCATCTTCAAGCTTATCGCCGGAACCCTAACGACCCTCTTCAGCCGGAGCTTTCTGATTCCACAAACAAACAGAATATTAACTCAAAATCAAAATTTAAATCAAACCCATTTTGAATATTCAAAATTTAATCAAACCCATTATATATATAGACGTGGGCATGTACCTCCTTTTGGAGCAATGGCATCGGCCGGAGGAGCCGCCACTGCACTTGCCGGAGGCGGCGTTTTCCGATGAACTGCACTTCCTCTTAAAGGAAGAGGAAGACAAGGGGGGTTTTCCGGCCGACGAGACCTGGGACATGTTGGTGATCTGGAACGCCGACGAGGACGACGGCTGCTTGCTGTCTGTGTCGCCGGTCAACGACGACATGAACGAGGTGGCGCCAGAAATGGCCGGCGAGATCGAGAAATTGATGGTCTTAGAGGACGCCGATTCCTTCCTATCTATCAACCCATTATTCATCACCATCACATGATCTTGAAGATGAGAGTGACGATGATTATGATGAGGAGGAGGAGGGACCTGCTGGATTGGGGTCGGAGAATAAACTCTAGAATCGGGTGAGACTGGTTTGGATTCGTCTCTGAGATTTGAGAGATTTGGGGGTGAAGAAGAAGAACCCAGAGGGGCTCTTCGGAACCGGGCGTGACCAGTTCGGGTTCGACCCAGTAGAGAGATCACCCTCTTGAACTTGTTCACCGCCACATCCGCGACGGCTCTGCAATCCATGTCTATTTGATTTGAGTTTGGAGAAGAAGAAGATTGTTGTTGTAGCTGTTGTTGGTGTTGAGACTGAGAGAGCAATCGAATTAACTTTTCGACGCTCTCGAGCCCAGAAGCTGCTTCTTGGACTGCGTTGTCTTCGATTTGGGTCGCGAAGGTGTCGTTTCTGTAACCCATGAGCTGCACAGCCATGGCTTCACCACAGCATCAATGGGGAGAGAGAGGGGACAAAAGTGGAGTGAGAGAGAGGAGATGAGAAGGGCTAGGTTGATAAAAAGGGGCAGTTGTAAGACTTTTTGTAGTACTGAATAATAGTATACTATTACTATTTTTTTATTATTTTTATTATTTTTTTCTGGTCAAAATTAGGGCCACAAACTTACAACTTTGGACAAACTTATTGTCGATGGAATATAAAAATCAAATACAATAAATTGGTTGTAGTCAAGGTAATAAAAGTGATCAATTAACTTACCAAGAAAATAATCTATCATTAGTCAAAGTTAACAAATAAATCACCCAAAAAAAAAAGTGATATTTATTTTTTCATGGCAAAAGAGTGACTACAATCACAGTACAATGGTTGCAAAGTGTTTATATTCTTTTTTTTTTTTCTAGGTATTTTCTAAATTATTTCTTCACTTTTTCATATGAAAGCTAAAAGTTTAATTTAAAAGGCTAAATGAGTGGTAAGTTTCTTTTTAAAGAAAAAAAAAAAAGAGTTTCTTTTAATTTTGTTCATATAAGGCTACGTGTGCTGTAATCTTTTGAACAGTTAGACATTTTAATTTATAAAAAATTAAAAATGACATGATAAAATTTTAAAAATTTATTAGATTTAAATGAAATTACTCTTTGTTTGAAAAATGAGTAATAAGTCACTGTTTTTTAAACATGACATTTTTTTTTATGGGCTGAGGAGTAATATGTTTTATGAGTTCATTAATTATAAGCCTAAACGGAATGTAAACAATTTCATACTGGATTTATTTTATTAGTACCTCTAACTAAAATGGTACTGTGTCAGAACAGTTTGAATGGGTCATCTTTTTGTTTTTTGTTTTTTGTTTTTTTTTTTTTGGCAGAATGGGTCATCTAGAATAATCAGAAACAAAATTGAACTTGACTTTCTGACTTTATTATAAACCTAAATGGAATTTAAATACATTTAACTTAATTTATTTGCAACTCTAATTAAAATAGTTTGTTGTCAAAGGGATTGTTCATCTAGAACAATCAAATTTGAACTCAAGACTTTTTTTTAGTCGTAAACCTAAATCAAATTTATATACTTTGAACAAGAATTTTTTTTCAGAAATTAATACTTTACTTAAAATAGTACACTGTCAAAGCAGCCCGTACTGTTCAACATCTAGAACAACATAATCAAATTTGAACTTGACTTTTCGAGTCCATTATAAAACCAAAAATCGAATGTACACACTTCTGTTCCACTCAATCCAATTTACAAGTAGAATAGTTAAAGGAGGGTGTGTTGTCAAAGCTGGGGGCAAAACCGTCAAATCGGCCACCCATCTGTTCCGTCAAACAACATAGGTGCGAATATGGATCCAACCACTAGGTGTATAGAATACTGTGAAAGAGAGAGAATAAAATGGCTTTTTTCTAATAGGGAGTCTGAAACGATGTGTCGGGGTGGGGGCATTGTTGACCTTGTCTGTGCGATGGTGGGGTCCACCGAAAGGACAATCTTGCTTTTGAAGAGATGGGGTCAAAGAAGCGTCGTGAGCCGTCTGATCTGGGTGGGGAATCGGATCCATTTGGCGGGGATTGGTTGTTTTCTTTAGTGTGATATAGTTGACTAATTTTCTTTGGAGTATTCATCAGTCTTTTATGTCTATATGTCTCTTGTCTTTGTTTCTTTATTCGGTTATGCGTATCTAATGTGTTTCTTTATTTTCTACGCCATATTAGTATTTTTTTTATTGTGGGAGACTTTTAGGGTTTCACATGGTCTAATTTGAATAGGTTTTGGCTTAAAATAGGATCAAATTAGTTTGAATGATTCTATGAAAATTGGAATATTTAGATTAGATTAATAATAACTCAGACAAAATTGTTAGTCTTAATATATTTGATTAGTCAATAAATGCTAAATATTCAGGTTTACCAAATTTACATTAATGACCAATTAGTTATAATTGACTCAACAATTCTGTCTAAATAATACTGCAACTATTATGTTCAAACGTGAAAATAAAAAATAAAAAAAGTTGATCACCTTGCGAATCAAAAAGTAACAATTATATTTATTTAAAAAAGAAAAGAAATATAATTATTTTAATAAATTTACTATTATTCAATTTTTAATAGATTTGTTTTTCCCTTTTAAAATTTTATACCAAACACAAAAACAGGATTCTGTTTCTTTTCCTTTCATTTCTTTTCAAACCAAACTGGGTCTAAGTTGTGTCGCATGAATTATGAAAGTGGAAGGTGAAAGACCGATTTGATTTATATACGTACTTATATTTTCTTTTTATTAATTCCATAATAGATGCAATATTCACATTCTAAAAAACAATTCCAAAATTCAGGAACTTTAGTGATAAGTGATAACTGTTGGGAATATTTTAATAAAAATATAATTATTGGTTTAATGGAACACTGTATCATATATTTGTTATTGTTTATTATACTTCATTACCTATATTATTAGTGTTTGTTATTATATATATATATATATATATATATATATATATATATTATAGTGAGTTAATTATATCATTTGAAGTTACAATTATATTATTATTAGCTAATTTATATATTTCTACATGTGTGTATAGTTTTGAGTATTATATTTGATTTGTTTGTGGGAAACAAGATTTCGACATGGTTATCCTGCCTTTCTTCGGACGTGTCTGGGGGAGATATCTTTTGCTCAAATAGAATAACCCATTTATACAGAATAGTAAAGGGACCCATATCTTGGAACTGTTATTACCACGCAACACTCGTACATGAGGAGGAAGTATCCACTTTTGGGCCGTGGATATTGCTTTGATTTCCTTGTATTTATGATTAAGTACTGCATAATATTTAAAAAATCAATCAAATTGAATTATCGTAATAACATTTGAATGTTGACTTGACTGGTGCAAGTTGGAACCATGGTTTGTAATATGTTGCGGTCAGAGTGTAATGGACTCGAATAAAATAATATAAATTAGTCAATACGCAAGGAAGGAACTAATAATGAGCTAACCTGAGCTATAACCCAGATCTAATTGAAAAAATAAAAATTAGTATTGTTGTTCCTATAAGCCCATGTACTACTCTTCCTCTTCTTATTAGCCTAGCTCAATTCATAGTATTTCTATAAATAAAAAGAGTTAAAAAATTTACAAAGGTCAAACCTTAAATATGAGCAATGTCCAATCACAAAATAAATCATAAAAAAAAAAGGGTGGCTTTGTTGATGACTTGATAATTTTTTGTTAAATTGAGTAATTTACTATATAATGGATTAATAACTAGTTAGGGGCGGAGCACATAGGTCTTACTTTCTAATGTAAATTTATTGATAAGGAACATGTATATCTTGCATTATTGTAGTTATTTGTTTTAATATTTGTATGAAATAAACTTTAATGGATTATTGACTGTGAAAATACGTTAAAGTTTGGAAGTGTAAATGTGTTAGAAGGTTGTAGATTATTGGGTTTAATTGAATAACTGATGCATGATAATTATGTATTTAGAGCATGGATGACACACAAAGTAATCATGGGTTTAATTATTTTTAGCCCTTCCTGCTTTGCAATCCTGGCTCCGCCTCTGTCGATACGAGTCGTATATCAACTTAAAAAATGATCACATATTGAAAAATGTTCGTGTATGAGACAATACGACAAACCATGGTTTGAACATAACAATATTCACTTATGCCTCTTTTAGTACAAAGGTAGAAGAAAATGGAGAAATGAAGTAATGCGATAAGAGATATTCTTAGAAAATGATGGTGTATTTCTGCTTTTTGTTTAGTTTGAAGTAAGAGAATCGGAGAAGGTAACACGTTACTTTATTTGTTAAGTGATAATTGAAGTGAGATGGATAAAAAAAGAAAAAGAAGATAATATTAAATATCATTTAATAATTATGAATGTTAACATTGTAATTTAAATTTTTTTTATAATTAACTTTGCTAATATTGGATTGTCTATCTTCATATTTGAAGGGATGTAAATTTATTACTCATCTATTATTATTATTATTATTATTATGGTTAAAATTATAAAACTCTCACTATTTTTAAATTTTGATCATAAAAACCCATAATGTTTCAAAAAACTCATATACTTTTAAAAAGTGTTCAAATTGCTTTAATATCCGTATCCGACATATTAACCGAGTTACAAAATGAAAATTTTAACCTTACTATTTAATGCTAAATTAAAAAATAATAATTATTATTTTTAATTACAAAAATACCCTTTATTGAGAGACGGGGTGAAGAAAAGTATTAACGAGTATTTTTGTAATTTAAACAAATAATTTTTAATTTTTAATTTAACATTAAATACTAAGATTAAATTTGTAATTTCATAACGGGTCGAACACAAATATTGAAACAATGTAATTACTTTCTGTTTTTTCAAACAAGTTAGGATTTTATTATTTTAACCTTATTATTATTATTATTATTATTATTCTTACTCCCATCTTGTGATTTTTTATCAAGGGTCTTATACCTCTTCTATTTTACAAAATAATAAATTTTAAGAGTTCGAAATCAAGTAGCAAAGTGGTCGAACGAGTTTCTTATCTATAATAAAAATAATTTTAAAAAAAAAATCTTGTGATTCCTTCATTTTTCAAACTCTATCCAGATAAAAGTGAAATGGTGATTCGTTTCCTAATTTGTAGGTTTGACATTCGTAGCACTAGACTTGTTTCTCTATAGGTAATGCGACAAGATGTGTCCTAAACCCGTGTTTTTTCAGTGTGTATTTTCTAACTTTCCATGTAGATCGTAGATTTAATAGTCGTCGAATCAACATCACCACAATGGACAAGTTTTATGCACTAATTGCGGCAATTGTGGACTTTTTTTATTTAGCTCATAACACTCCCAAATCCTCTTATCAGAATCTTGGCATTGAAAGATTGTTCTTTTCGTGTGGTTGAAGGTGCAGCCATCAACGACGGTTGATTCGCGGTTGGATTGCTGATCAAGGTCAAACTTTTTGCATATATTGTCCGACTTACACTCCCTTTTTCTGAAATTTTTTTTTTTTTTTCAATTACGTTTACATGGTTAATGAATGA